ATTAAGAGTGAATGCTGACTGTCTTTACAGTACAAAGCTGGATGTATAAAGTCCCTCTGCTTCCTATTCATTGATTTGACCCTGATTTATCCCTGGAAGATCATAGATAAATTCATCACTGTTTCATTTAATTCTCATGCATTTTTAGTTTATTATTATTATATACCACAAGGGAGGGGACCCCTTGGGGTGCCCTGTGTTGTCTCCCGGTGTGACGTTGGCAGCAGATCCTTTGGGTCCTGTGGGCTTCAGGGTTTGGCCTCTGTGGACTGGCTTTGTTCTGCTGCTTGCTGCAGATGCTTGTACAGACTGGGATCTGGGGACTCTGAGAAGCACAGCAAAGAGCCTGAGGCACCGATGAGGCTCCCAAACAGTTTCTGATCAGTTTTGGCGGTGTGGTTCAGCTGGGGGAGGTCACTGCTTTTGGGGCTTGCCTTTGCTATTGGAAGCAGGTGCTTAGTCTTGCAACAATGTTTAGGTGAGTTATATTCATCAGAGTAACATGAAAGCACAGACAAAAGAACATTTATGATGAGTTAGCCTGGCCTAAATGGAGCTACACCACAAAACCTGTGGTGGATAGATGTTGAAAATGAAGAACCTTATGTCTGCGAGTCTACTAAAATAACAATAACAATAACAGCATAAAAATGAACCACTATTGCCATTACAGTGTTGTGTAATGACAATAGTGGTTTTAAGTCCTTTACACTTTTTTCTGTTCGCTTTTTCTGATGTCATTCATATATTTTTGTTTTCCCCTTCGTTAGTCTTTCAGCCTCTTCTTCCATTCATCCCACTCTTTCTCATGGTTTAAACTCCCTCCATCCTCCATCCTTTTCCTCATCCTTTGCTTGTCCCACCTCTCCCTTTCTCTAGGAATCATATTTCCATGGAATGCTGTGTTTCCATTAGAGCTGCTAATAGAATTATAGTCGGTCACATAAGCTTGTGCAACACACACAAACACATGTCCGTGCATATGCATGTGAGAGGACGGATGCACAGGAGAGACACGCGGTCAGACAGATTAGTATTATTAAAGTTTACTTGCCTCTAATCCTCTCAAACTCGCTCATACAGCACACATACTAACAAACACACTCTCTCGGTGGGGTACACCCTGTGTGAGGAGCAGGCTATGTGAGATAAACTGATCACACAGCAGTACAATATGCTGAAAGTGATTATGTGTGAGTGTGTTTGCGAGTGTGCGTTTGTGAGAGATAGAGAGCAAAGGAGAAATGATGTGCAACAGAAGTCAGGAAGCAGTTATTAACTCGCACTGAAGGAAGATATGCTCCAGTATAAAGGAGCATCTGAGACAGAGCCAAAATGCATGTTTGATAAAAGAAAATTTTACTATGCTGATTTTAAGAAAATCTCTAAAATCAACCCCTCATTTTATTGAAAATAAATAAATAAATGAGGGGAGTGCAGTTTCAGCCAAGTAATGAGATGAAAGATATGCTCGAAAATTGAAACCACAGTGGTTTTTCTCATAGGACACAGCTGCATCTGATACCAAGTGACTTCATTGCTGGTAAATGTAAAGAGCACCTCCTTGGGCATGACTGCTCTATTCAAAGCACACTACTCTTTAAATATTTGCAGATCTGGTGCTGTTGTTTCTTACTGCATTTGTTTGTTTGTTTTTGTTGTTTTTTTAAGACCACTTCTACCTTGAGGGCATCGCAGTTTATTTTGTAATAGAAGCAATAAAGTTTATTTATATAGCACTTATCCAAACAAATATTACAGCAGACTTGCCATAAAAAACAACTTACCCACATACACAAATAAAACCAGCAATCTACATTATTAATAGAACAAATCATAACAGAAAAGTCTGAAAATGCAAAACCGCTATATCAATAAATACTAAGAATGAATAAGAGTTCGCTAAAAGGCTAGCTTTGAGTTATATTGTTTTCCTTAAGGATGACAAGCCAAGCAAATGACGGATGTTATCACTATAAGGAGTGGAATATGGCTATCTATTCATATTTTCATATAACATTAACAGTAAGACTACATTTTGGTTGTATTTCAGTCACTAATCCCAACAGAAGGTCGTGTTAGTTGCTAGCTAAGCTAGCTTATGGCATGTAAACATGCTAAATCAAGTATTATAAGGATCTACTAAGTTATTTTTATGTCATTGCTGTATTATGGTTTTGTGTCTTGACTTCTGCAGTGCTGCAAAAAGTCCTTGATCCCAAGTTAACTTGTTGGTGATAGCTGTGAGTCAGAGTAGCTAGCTCTTTGCTATATTTCTAAATGTGTTGTGCAAAGTAAATGTAGCTGTATGCGCATAACATCTTATTCACTGTAGGCCATTTAAGCAAAGTAGGCTACGGATAATTTTCTACAATGTCTTAATATAGCTATATCTAGCTGTACCATTGTGTTTTTTTTTTTGGTTACATTAAACTTATTAATGGTATAAAGTCAATAAAATTAGGCCTGCTACCATGAATGCATCAGTAAATCTATCTATCTATCTATCTATCTATCTATCTATCTATCTATCTATCTATGGTTTACGCCACAGTTGCATGCAAAAAATGCTGAAATTAGTAACTAACTTCTCAAATAAGTCCAGTGTGTTGTTTCTTTCTGTCATGTGTGTATAATATTTGTGTTTTCTTGTTTTTATGATTGAATGCCTAACACAGTTATCATCATCATTGTCATGCATATTTATATAAATATTGGACTTTTTTGGATCACTTAAGTAGCATTTAAATACAAGCACATTTAAGATGGTTGTACTGTTTTTCATGGGCGTATCAGAGTCCAGTAGCTGTACATATTTGAAGATTCAGTGTGCTTGTTGAGGCTTAAGAGTTGTTGTTAGAGGCATGGTACATGGATTAAAAAGAGAGGGAAAGAAAAATAGGGAACTAATTATACTGATTAAGTAATTAGCAACTTCAGTAATGAATTTTAATATATCTTTAGTAAGGGATAAATTATTATGTTTTACATTGCCAAAAAGCATGTGAGATTTGCCAGCACCCTTCTAAGTTGCTCTTGATGAGTCAAATTCTGTGGATAATGCTACAGTCACAATGAATTTATAATCTTGTTGCCTTTGAAATAGTTTCTTCGAAGACAAGGACCAGGTTTGTGACCACTTGCAGGTAGCTGCTGTTTTCAAAACAACTTTGACGCTTCAAGATGGCGATGAAACGCTATCAGTCGGCTATCAGTTTGGCAATTACATGCAATTTGTTTGTGATGATATGCGAATTAACTCTTATAAACGCAAATATGTTAAAAATATTTTGCAGGCCAGTTCCGTTCATCGGCACAGACTGACTGAGATGGATTACGACATGTTGACAATCAATCACCGCAACTACTTGCATTCAGTCGCTGAATACGAAAATTTTTTTTTAGTCCAATCACCAGGCAACCATCCATTTTCCCTAGTCACAGGGATATTGCTGTCCTATTTTTACTTTACTGTGACTGAGTAAGAAAGCAGCACTTGCAGATGATTAGGCGATAGATGTATATACACTCTGTGCATGTGTTATAGTCACTATAGTCCTCAGGATGTGATGTACTGTTCCCTCAGGCCATCGCCCAGTGTGAGTGCATTTGTAAAAACCTGTAGCAGTGAAGTGAGAGGAGCAGGATTTTAGCAGACATTGTGAATGCCCTGTAATTGTAGGATAAATCTACTTCTCTCCTCCTCCTCCCTCTGAACCCACTCACATTTCTCCTTCCTCTGTCTTTCTAGCTCCTTATCTCTGTTGCAACAGCACAGGATGGATTAACTTTACAGAGGTTCTTTAACTTTTGGATTCTTCCTCTTCCAAAAGAATTTCACTTTATGAGATTTACGAATTCGACATTGCTAAATCTACAAAGATTAAGCTTTTCATTTCCACCATGCATTAGTTGTGCTAAAAGATCTAGTGATCTACTATATGGCACTGCAACATCGAGATAATGATATATATTCCAGTTTGTATGATTAAATAGTATATCTACTAAATCTATTGCGTTCAAACAATTTAACAATTTTAAAATTAGTTTTTCTTTTTAATCATTAAAAACAAACATTTTCTGCTTTGATATCAGTAGCTCTGACTACTGTTTCACAAACATACCCTTGTCTCTGCAAAGCACTGTTACTTCTTCCATCTGTAGAAAATTTCCATGTGCACTTGCACGCTTGGCTTTGTGTGAATAATAATTGTTTGCATAAAATTTCAGCGTATAATCTATATGCACAGTGGAAACATTTGCTGAGTTGTCAGAGAGAAGGAGGGCTGAGAGGATATTATAACTGTCTTTAATCTGGCTAAGCATACAGTATGGTTAATCCAGTGTCTTTGTTTTACACCGTCTTATTCCCACGATTTGTTTGCGTAAAACTATGTAATCTCACAGAGATTATTGTAATTCTGTCTCTCTCTTCTTTTTTTTATCTTTTATTTCAATACAAGCATTTGTTGTCCCCAGTCTTATTCTTTTCAGGGCTAAACACATTCTGGATTTTTCAGTGGGTATTAATCTTTAAAGCTGGGAGACCTATCATTTTAAACATGTTAGTTCCCTACAACTACACCCAAAGAACTGTTTGCTACTCAGTTGTTTTTAATCTCCCCAAGTAGACATTGCTAAATTCTTGATTGAGGGATCCAGCCATGCACAAGTGGTACTAGTGCCATCAAGTCTTTCACATGGATGTTGAAGTACTACATTTGATGGCTTGTGATGAAGACATCACAACATTGTCAAGACCTTAGACTTTCAGTTAAAGCGGTTAGCTCTTTTGAACTCGATAGCTAACAAAAATACAAAGTACAGGGCATCATAACTGATGAGTTTGTGCTTTATCCAGCCTCTTCAGAATATTCAGAATAATCTAACAAACCAACAAACTAAACAGTTTTTGAAGCAAATCCCTTCTATAAGTAATCCATAAATTTATGTAGCTAACTTCCTGTCTCCTCTGTCTTTTCTCTTTTTCTCAATTCCAGGCTCCGACTACTCTCCCCCTCCTCCTCTTCCTCGACCTCCTCCACCTGGCCTGACCAATGAGCACAGTGGTGGCACTAGCCATGGCGACCATGGTGGAGGAGGGGGCGGGGTCAACCATGGAGTGGGCGTGGTTGGTCTGGCTCCAGAGCACATCCCCACACCGGGGGCAGCCCTGAGCTGGCAGGCGGCGATCGATGCCGCGCGGCAGGCGAAGATGATGGGTAATGCCGCATCGGGTGGAGGGGCGGGGCTTGGGTCCGGAGGGCGAGGGCCCATCTCCACGGCCAGCTCCACGCAACGGAAGAGACAGCACTATACCGCCAAACCCAAGAAACAAACCACAACGACAGCCACAAGGCCGCCACGAGCTCTACTCTGCCTCACACTCAAGAATCCTATCCGCAGGGCCTGCATCAGCATCGTAGAGTGGAAGTATCCTTCAACAAACTATGGGCAAAGGGTTGTTCCCTGTGTAGTGCTTTCTCATAGATCAGATCCTTATCAATTGGTTGCATAGTCTAAAGAAAATCAGTTAAAAGTAGAATTTGTCCATGTCAGTTTCAAAATGTAAAGTGTTATGGCCCATCTTTATCAAGCGCTTTGGGTGCCTTGAAAAGCGCTATATAAATCCAATCCATTATTATTATTATTATTATTGTACTGGAGAGTTATATGATGGCATTTCTATATTTTACAACTATATATAATGTTCCTGTGCAAACATATACATGTAGGATAAATATGTTTCAACTGCAAACCACGGACTTTATCTGATCGTATTTCTTTATTGGTCCTGTCCCGTTGTGAAGCCTCAAGCTAAGCTTTTTTGTTGTTGGCATTTTTGAGTTTTAAAACTGGATGTGATGAGAAAGGGGTGAATCCGAGTAAGTGAGATATATAAAACACCCAGCACGCCCCTGCGGGCGGTTTATCCTTCAAGCTCGGGTCCTCTACCAGAGGCCTGGGAGCTTGAGGGTCCTGCGCAGTATCTTAGCTGTTCCCAGGACTGCGCTCTTCTGGACAGAGATCTCCGATGTTATTCCCGGGATCTGCTGGAGCCACTCGCCTAGCTTGGGAGTCACCGCACCTAGTGCTCCGATTACCACGGGGACCACCGTTACCTTCACCCTCCACATCCTCTCGAGCTCTTCTCTGAGCCCTTGGTATTTCTCCAGCTTCTCGTGTTCCTTCTTCCTGATATTGCTGTCATTCGGAACCGCTACATCGATCACTACGGCCGTCTTCTTCTGTTTGTCTACCACCACTATGTCCGGTTGGTTAGCCACCACCATTTTGTCCGTCTGTATCTGGAAGTCCCACAGGATCTTAGCTCGGTCATTCTCCACCACCCTTGGGGCATCTCCCATTTTGACCTCGGGACTTCTAGGTTATACTCGGCACAGATGTTCCTGTACACTATGCCGGCCACTTGGTTATGGCGTTCCATGTATGCCTTGCCTGCTAGCATCTTGCACCCTGCTGTTATGTGCTGGATTGTCTCTGGGGCATCTTTACACAGCCTGCACCTGGGGTCTTGCCTGGTGTGATAGACCCCAGCCTCTATGGATCTTGTACTCAGAGCTTGTTCTTGTGCTGCCATGATTAGTGCCTCTGTGCTGTCTTTCAGTCCAGCTTTGTCCACCCACTGGTAGGATTTCTGGATATCAGCCACCTCCTCTATCTACCAGTGGTACATACCATGTAGGGGCCTGTCCTTCTATGATGTTTCCTCGTCTCCCTCCTCTTTCTTGGGTTTCTGCTGCCTGAGGTATTCACTGAGCACTCGGTCAGTTGGGGCCATCTTCCCAATGTATTCTTGGATGTTCCTTGTCTCATCCTGGACTGTGGTGCTGACACTCACCAGTCCCCGGCCCCCTTCCTTCCGCTTAGCGTACAGCCTCAGGGTGCTGGACTTGGGGTGAAACCCTCCATGCATGGTCAGGAGCTTTCTTGTCTTTATGTCAGTGGCTTCTATCTCCTCCTTTGGCCAGCCTATTACCCCAGCAGGGTACCTGATCACGGGCAGGGCGTATGTGTTGATGGCCCGGATCTTGTTCTTACCATTCAGCTGACTCCTCAGGACTTGCCTGACCCTCTGCAGGTACTTGGTGGTTGCAGCCTTTCTAGCGGCCTCTTCATGGTTCCCATTTGCCTGCGGGATCCCCAGGTACTTGTAACTGTCCTCTATGTCTGCAATGTTGCCTTCTGGTAGTTCAATCCCCTCAGTTCTGACTACCTTCCCTCTCTTTGTTACCATCCGACTACACTTCTCCAGTCCGAACGACATTCCAATGTCATTGCTGTATAGCCTGGTAGTGTGGATCAGTGAATCGATGTCTCGTTCACTCTTGGCATACAGCTTGATGTCATCCATGTACAGGAGGTGGCTGACAACTGCTCCGTTCCGTAGTCGGTATCCGTAGCCAGTCTTGTTAATGATCTCACTGAGGGGTTCAGGCCTATGCAGAACAGCAGTGGGACAGAGCATCTCCTTGGTAGATCCCGCACTTGATGGTGACTTGTGCTATGGGCTTGGAGTTGGCCTCTAGTGTTGTACGCCACATCCCCATTGAGTTCCTGATGAAGGCTCTTAGGGTCCCATTGATCTTGTACAATTCTAGGCATTCCAGAATTGCCTAGAATATATATATATATAGCAGTCTCCCAGAGTAGAAACTTGTCAGTCAAACGGTGATTCAAATCCTTCCCAAAAGCCCATAAATTCATGAGTAAAGTATTAGCAAAGGTTATAGAGCAAGGGGGGCAATTACAGTTTTCCCAGACTTCTAAAGAAAAAGATATTCTCCCTCTGCTGGCCATTGTATAGAATACAAGCTTAAAGCACTTCCTCATTGGCTCACCTTTAAGGCCCAGAAGCTACATCCATCTTTTATATACAGTTCTTACTGCAACCATATTCCACCCCCTTGTTTTTTAGATTTAGGATGAAATTATTGGAGAGACGCAGATGGAACAGCATGTCATAAAAAAATAGAATTATAGCTAATTGATGTTTTTATATGTATGATTAATAACTGGTAGAGGATGCACAGGTGGATTTACAAAAAGCTGATTCTGAAGCGTCTTTTTCTGTTATTTCAAAGTGGATTTATGTATGTCTTTTGGGCCTTTTTGTCCTACTGGACATCCATTCCCATTCTTTAATTTTAACTTTAAAATTTCTTTCCAGGACAATGAGTAAAAATTTCCATGGTCCACTGAGAATATTTTATCCCTTTCCTCCCCCCCATAATGATAATCCCATTCGTATGGGGCTTTAATCAATCTCTCTCTGTCCTCTAGCTCTCAATAAGTGTGATTTTCCCTCTTCACTCAGTAGTCTTAATCCCTTCTCCCCTTCCTCTGCCTGCCCTTCTCCCTCTTTTACTACTCTTCTCTTTCATCTTACATTCTTTATTTCTGTTTTCTCACAGGAGGATGAAAAAATTGTCTCATTTTCATCCCTCCTTCACACTTCTCCCCTTGCTATTTCAAAGTGTATTTATCCTCTTTCCCCCAGGTCCATCCACACCTCTGTTCATCCTTTACCCCCACCCCCCATCCTCCACCTAGGAGTCTCAGCATTTAATAGCCAACCCTCCCTCTGTCCACCCAAATCCCAAATTCTTACTGTTCTTCCTTTCAACCCTGCTTCTCCAGTTTTGTTTTGTTTTTTTAAAATCTATTTTTAAGTTCCTGAACATAATGACATGGTTCTCCCTCAGGGTGCGAAAGAGACGGGGAAATGGAGAGATAGACAGAAATGGCCTGTGTCACACTCAAAATAATCAATAGTAGGTGCATGTCCACATAAGCCTCGACTCAGCAAGAGCACAATTGCACACGGTTCTTAGAGGAACAGAAGGAGAGGAAAAGGAGGGGTCAGGAAAATGAGAAAGGCAGGGATGTGGGCAGGACATTGATGTCGACAGGAGAGATAATGGAGCTGAGTAACAGAGAAGGGACGGAGGGAGTGAGAGATTGAGGGGAGGATGGAAAAGGTAAACAAGAAAATAGTGAGTGGAGTGGAGGGAAGGAGGTAGAGGTGTGGGTTTAGAATAGAAGGATCATAAGGGAAGAGAAGAGGAAGGAAGTAGAAAGCAGTGCAAAATGGTAGGAAATAGAAGAAGATATAGGAAGTATGTGTTTTAATGCATGTGCTGGGTGGGTTGCATTAACAAATTAACAAGTCACAATAAATCAGTGTTGATAATATTATAGGCTCTAATGGACCTCACATGTTCACACTATAAGCTAGTCTGAAAAACATTGTTCAGACTACTTGATAATGTCCAGATCAGAAAGCTGAGATTGTGCATTACTGTTAATTGTTTTACCCCTTAGTGTCTGTTAATGAACAAAAAACAACACTGCATTTGGGCTGCCTAATGACTTCCAGACAGAAAGATGAATATGCTATACTAGCTCTTTTTGTAGCAGGGACAGATCTAAAGGGGGCAAGGGGAGCAACTGGCCCCCTGCTGTAGAAACTTGCCACATCCAGCAGCCGCCCCAACTTTTATGTCCTTAAAATACTTTTCGTCTGTGCAAGACTGCCATTGTTTTGCCAGTGAGTACTGCACGGTGTGAGCAAAGTTTTTCTGCTTTAAAACTTGTAGAAAAATCCCTTTGTGTTTGTTTTCTTAGATGAGATAATGATACTTTAAATGGTTTTTGTGGATATTTTGGTAATTTGCCCCTGCTTTGCCCCACCATGTAAGGTTTTCTAGATTTTCCACTAACCCATTGTGGATACTACAAAATTCGTAGTATTAAGAGCTGTGCTTTGTACAACTTTACACCTGGAAAAACAAAATGGGAAGGATACTTTGGCTTTAGCTAGGTGGTTAGTTGCTAATGTCTCTTTACATTCTTTTCCTGTAAATTGCTAGCTAGAGCCTCCTTTCCAACTGTGTCATGAATATGGTGAAAGACAGGAAGCAGGAATAGTCAAGGATCAGACTCTCGTCTTTCAGGTCTTTCAGTCATCAAAAAGCAAATTTTATGACTATAACCTAGCCTAGCCTGGCACAGTGGGCATTGTTATCGTCTGAGCCTGACATTACAGGCTATATTTATCAAAAAACTACAACGAAAAAAGTGCTTAAGTTTCACAAATTTTAATTTGAACAAAAGTTTCCATTTACATAGATTCCCTCCATCATGCAGGTTAACTTGTGAATCTGCCATGAATTCATGAAAGTGGAGTCAGACCTATATTATTGAGTTTGTTTATGGAAACGGTGAGCGTGTTGTCCCGACGGTCACCTTGTGTATCTGTCATTATCGTGCCAATAACCTATCAACTGTCCAGCTGTGCAGAAGCTGGAAAATATAAGCCAAAAGCATGAATAAACCCTGAGGGCTGCTGGAACAATCTAACCCAGTGAACTGATGAGATTATTAGCCACAATTCCCTGAAATCATTCATTTAAACTGCTCAGTGTGGGAAGGAAAAGAGCGTTGGTGAGGTGACAGAAAGAAAATGGACATTAAAATGTGCTCTTAAAGAAAACTGCAGCTAAAAAGGCATGGCCTCTGAGTCACGAAGAAACGTGGAAGAAACACAATTAACACCATTAACACCAAGTCTTTGTTTTTCTGCTTTTCTATTTAACCTCCCTGCTATGGGATGTCCTTCGTAACTGCAGTGCAGGCATGCTGTTGAACATGTGGGTGACTCGGTGTCCACTCTGGTGTATGTTTTGTTTATATATGTGAGGCTTTATGCGTGCATGTCCTGTGTACTGTGAGTACCTCTGTCTCTGGAGATAGAGATCCAAAATCCTCCGCTTTTCCTCCTCTGTTACCATGACAACTGCTGCTGCTCTCAACAGGTCAATGGGGCCTGTCTAAGCTCACACAAGCACACACTCAGATTAGAGAACACACAGCAACACTCTTGAAGAACACACACGTACTTGAACACAGATGATAAAGGACTAAAACACAGACACACAGTGCTCTCGCGTGCTGTGTAATTATAGCCTGGAAACATTACCTGCACGCTGCAAGGTCAGCGAGAGAGACATCTTCCTAACTACCATGTTCTCTATATGAAATCACACTAAGTTGTAATTTTCAAAAGGTGTTATTTAGCGCATTTACAAACAGACACATGCATGCACACACTTCCCAGCTACAGCTAATAAACTCCACAGGCTTACATGAAGAATTGCACTGTTCGTATACATTTTCAAACTCAGGAAACTAGATATCGGGATATCAGCATAACAAGTAACCTCACTCTCCTCGATAGTATAAGTATAGCCCAGATTCCTTACGGGCTTTTGAAAAGATAAGAGATTATCTGAGTTATTGTAAACTGTATGTGGCGTTTATGTGATCCAACTGTACAGAGAGAAGCTCTAGAAATAACAGCTTCAGGGGTACTAGGATGCAATCCCAAAGTGAAATTCTGTTCCAAGCAACACAGTTAGCCTGTCAGAATGCAGAATATGTATCAGCCGTAAAAGCCTCTCAGCTTCATGGATGTTGATTTCAATTTTATTTACTCTGGTTAATTTTAGAGCTCTCAGTTTGCTTGCAGCAAAATGTTGATTCCCAGTGATATTTCTTTATTTCCTGTGGTCTTAAAGATGCATATTGCTATTGTTGTTATGCTAATTAATGTACGTTACGAATAGATTTGGTACAGACCTCCCAAATTTCCTCCAAGTGTTGTTTTGCTCTCAACAGCACAGCAGACAGTAGATTTATTATCATGCTGATGGAAGCAGACCTCAAGGGTTTTTGAAATTATGGGTCAGGAATGCAGAATGAGTCACAGGCCTATTTTTCAGTGGGTCCCCATATGTCTGAAGTGAGTTTAATGAGCCCTTGGTAGAAGGGTGAGTGATTAAGTTTGATGCATTTTGGTCCCAAGCTGAACGAGCTGAATGATCTCGTGGCCGATGGTGTTCAAGAGTCAATTCTTAATCCAAACATAAACAAAACATTTGCTTGATGGTAATAATTTGAAGCTCTTTCTCTTTTATGTGTTTACAGTGCTGTTCTTACAACAGAAGTTAAGCCTCTAAAATGAATAGGAGGTCTGTTTCTAGTCACACAGCAATTATTAATGGTGCAAGTAGTATGATTGCTAAAGTTGTTGGGGCCATTTTTGGGGAATTACTTACCCATTTCTTATTGGTCATCTAAACCTATTGCAAGCAATACTTCAGAAGACTATAAGGCTGTGATCTGTAGAACTTGTTGGGGTTAAAACGAGAAAATCCAAAGTAAATTCAGACTTTTGCATCCAATTCTTGTTTTTTTTTTGTTTGTTTTTTTAAAGTCATTTAAGATGTGTGCTGCAGAATCATTCCACTCTGGAACAGTTCAAAGAAAACATTAAAACCCCCAAATTACCATGGCATTCATGCCCATGTTGAATGTATGTAAACTTCTAACCATATCTGAATGTTGATTTATTTTTTACCATCTGCAACTCTAAATAAGAAGTTTATGACAGGCCAGATGGATCCATGCTTTAATGATTTCTGCATCAAATTCTGACACTACCGTCTGAATGTAGCAGCAGAAATTGAAACTCATCAGACCAGGCAACATGTTTCCAATCTTCTATTGTTCAATTTTGGTGAGCCCATGTGAATTATTGCCTCAGTTTCCTGTTCTTAGCCGACAAGAGTGGCATCCAGTGTGGTCTTCAATTCCTGTAGCTCATCTGCTTCAAGGTTTTATGAGTTGTGCTTTTGGTGATGTTCTTATGCAACAAGTGGCCTTAACCATGTCTACATGTATAAATGCAATGAAGTGCTGTCAAGCGATTGGCTGATTAGATTAATTTACCAGTTGTTACAGCACCTGCAAAACCGCCACTTCCAAGTCCAACAGTGAGATTCAGTGTAGTGAATAATTAAACCCTGGTCTCAAGGACAAAAAAAAAAACCCAACTGCTTTCGTGGTATGATGCAATATGTTACTGTCAGCTAATATATATGACTTTGCTGATGGTTTGTCTTCAGGATTGGAGGTTTTGACAGCTCGAGTCATCAGTACATTGCTGTTTACATTATACCTTGAGGTCTGGAGTCTAGACTAATTTGATATGCAGCCGAGAGTGAAGGCAGACAGGAGGGGAACAAAGTAAGAAAAGGAAGGTAAGAATAGAAGAAGAGGGAGGGCAAGAAGAAGGTGGAGGGAGGTGACAGCAGTGGCGGTTTGTAATTGTGTTGATGAAAACCAGAGCTCCTCTATCTCTCCTTCACACTCTCTCCCTTTCTTTCTCTTTATCTGTAGCCCTCCTCTCTCTCCCACCCCTCTCTTTCTCTCTCTCTCTCTCTGAGGCCCAAAATAATGAGGTCACTCCCCTCTGAAGGACCGTTCCAAATAAAAGCCCTCTGTGTCTCTCCTCTCTTATTCCATCTTGCTCTCACTCTTTCCTCATCCCGTCTTCCACGCGACAGGCCTGCTCCTTGCCGCACCCATATTAGGCCATGCAGCGTCTCTCTAACCCTCGCCTCCCTCCACTACGCACAAAGAGGTCTCTAAGTAAGCCAGCGTGTGTCATTGTTAACAAAAAGCCAAACTCACTGACTTTGATCTCTCTCCTTGTGTACACTCCTTGTGCACTCTGCGATGTTTATATATACCTATGCTTATGTAAAGATGTATTGCTGTGGTTAAAAATACTTCTCTGTTGAAACAACATGCTTAATATGAAGACTTTTTCTATACAAGGAGGTCAGAAACCAGAGTCTATATTATTTTGTGTTTTCCATCACAGATTTTAAAACCAACTCAGAGGTACTCCAAAAGCAGAAGAAATGTATTTGACTCAGTTTAATGTTTTTAAAGTGTACTCAAGTAAACCAAGATAATCATTGCTATGTAAATGCCTTTGTATCTCTTGTTTTGTGTACACTATTCCACCTTAACTTTTCACTCAGACCATTTGAGATCATCATCCTGATGACAATTTTTGCCAACTGTGTGGCCTTAGCTGTCTACATCCCCTTTCCTGAGGATGACTCGAACGCCACCAACTCCAACTTGGTGAGTAGTGCATGATATTTAAGCTCTTTTACAGCTCAGTATGCTCGCTTGCGGTTTGGTATAATAGATGCTGCTTGGTTCACTGGGTATGTTTTTGCAGTCCTGTTGCTTCGGCCTGACACTTGAGTTACCTTGTGTTTGTAGGGGGTGATTTATTAAGCAATTCATTAGCAGCATTTGCTGTTTTTCCTTAGCGTTCTAGCGTGTAATTTGCACATTTCCAGTTGATTCATCCTTGTATGATTTACTGTCATGAACTGTATGCGGTTTTGCCAAGTTAGCGAAGGTACAGCATAAGAATGAGCGAGTAAAATTAATGAAAGGCAGAAACTTTGGGGAAAACGGGCATGGAATTACCCTAATTTTTTGAAAAGGTTATTGATTATAACTTTTAACTTGAGTTCAGAGTTGTATGAAATATACAAAGCTTTGTGGGTTAATCTGCTCAAAGATGAGGCCTCATTTTTTGTGGGCAAAACCATCATTTTGGTCTGCACTGAGGAACTGCGAACTTTTGTTGGTGGCCTGACTTGACTTGTTTTAATTGGCTGATTTTCTTTCTTTCTTCTTTCATATTGTACTAAATGTTACATATTGAAGAAAAAATGAGTTATTAATAAAAAGAGATTTGCAAATTGTATTTTTGCATTGTTCATTCATATGTTAAGAGTTGATAAAAAGCTTTGTATTAAACCTTTGAAAAATTTAAATGGGTTTCAGAGCTACACTGACAGTAACCACAATGATGACACATTAAACTCAGCCACGATTTGATAAGCTTCTTGTGATGTTAGGAATGCTTGGCTTTTTCAGTCATAAAGTGTCCCCATAAATGCTCAGTGAGGCTGCGGTCAGGTGCTTGCAGATTATTACAGTCCACTTTAGTGGACTGAAGTGTTGTGTACTTCATTTAGCAAATCCCGCAACTGTGGTGAAGCTACTTTTCTGTCTTTCAGTGAAAATAATGCCTGATGTATTGATCTTTTGATTATGTGGTCAGTTTTGTTCTGCCTGACCGTGCTTGGGAAACAGCTGAACCAGTTTCCACAAAGCATTTGATGTGACTTACACTTCCCCCTAAGAATCCTTCAGCCTAGCCATGAGTTCATATTGAGAAGTCCTCTATTTAGCCCTCCTTTAGCACACTTGATTCTTCACATTTAGCGTCTCAGCTTCTTGTGTTTTAAAATGTTTCCAAGTGCTCAAAGGATTTCCAGGTTTCTATGACTGATATTCAGCGTGGTTCCAAACTTTTAGACTCGACTGTACATGTGATTTATGTGCGTCACATATGTGTGAATGTGTGTGTCAGCTGGCAAATGTATGCCAGTGTATAGTTACAGGGTTTTTCCTGGCTCGAATCTCTAGGGCTTGACTGTGACTGTTAAAATAGTGAGTCTATTTTAACTCATGTGACAGAAATCTATGCATTTTCTTGTTATTTCATAGAATTCTTCTATATTTGGTTAAAAACGAATGTTAATATAATGCTGGTGATCTTTCCTTTGGCTCTGGCTAAAACCTCTTTGGGAGATGCCAAAAAATCCTGTATGCAGACAAAACCTTATAGTTAGAGGAGACTAATCCCTCTGAGGCCTTGTAACATCTGGCACTCTGTTTCCAACTCTTTCTTTCCTTCTTCCTAAGGATATCTTGTACAACTCACACTTTACTATGGCCTTCACATTTCCACACATCTCTACATGTTTGGAGAATGGTTCCGTCTTGTCTTCTGAATACAAATAGCAGAAAAAGAGGCCCCATTTAGGTTTTTTTCACCTTGCATACTCATAATGTTGTGTTGGACTTACAGCACATCTGTGAATGATTAAATATTTGTTTTTATTTGTTTAACTGTATGCCAACCCTCTAATTTCTCGCATAAAGATACAGTGTCAGAGCAGGTGCATATGAGTCAGCAAACAGACAGCTGTTTTTTATCTTCTAGATCCATGCCCATCACCTACTCTCTCTGCTTATCACGCTTTGCTTTTTAGCTCTTTAATCACACTCTTTCATATAATTTGAAAGGTTCTATTTATGTTATCAAACCGTTAATAAGATTAGCAGCACAGACTGACAGAACTTGATCCTTCAGAGGCATCGAGAAAGGCTGAACTTTCAGGTGAAAAGCAGCTAGCGCAGTCATTCATGTTGGAAACCCAAATGGAAATTCTGTTTTATGTAAATATTATTTTGTCTTTCAGTGCAGAAGAGGTTTTTACTTGAAATCTGAACTGTGTAATAAGTCTCTCAGTTTTTCCCACCGTATGGAAGCACCGTAGAGGGCTTCAGTGTTCTGAAACCGTATAAAGCACAAAGCCCTGGCACACTGTGAGGAACACTGTTAGATAAAATGCAAGGCCTAAACAAAACTAGTGTCAAGTCATATATTTTAGCCAAGTTTTTCTTTTTTTTTTCTTTTTTGGACCCTACGGGCGGCCCCTCCCCACCTCCCAAGTTAATGAACAGATACAACACACACAACCACTACAGCTGTGCTCAATTAGTTTTATAACCTTCTGACAGACAGGAAGCAGTGCGCAGATGGACCAGAGTCTTAAATATACAGGCGAACCATGTATATGTAAGTGTCTGTGTCTGTGCAGTATTAACAACTAGGCAACTTAAATCAAAAAGTACTTTTTTTTTTTAGGCGGGTGGGGGGATAGATCTATTGCACAGCTGTCTGGCTGATTAATGTGTGGAGGCATCAGTGGTTCAGATCTCGTTTCACTCAGACACAGATGTCGTCAAATGTGTGACGGTACAAAAAATATGGTGGTGGAAATATTCCTCAGAGGTTTTGGTGCATATTGGCATCATAGCATCACACAATTGCTACAGATTTGTCAGTCATGCATCCCTGAGGCAAATCTCCCGTTTTACCACATCCCAAAGGTGCTCTATTGGTTTGAGATCTGGTGACTGTGGAAGGTATTTGAGTGTATTGAACTTATTGTTATGTTTAAGAAACAAGTTTGGGATAATTTGTTGGAGTTTCCATAGTTGCTACTAAGGGGTAAAAAAGTGTACTAAACAAATATCCCCTATCCTATTACACCACCGGTAGCAGCCTACTCTTTGATACAAGATGGGATTGATCAATACTTGCTGTTTATGCCAAATTCTGACCTTACCATCTAAAATCGAGGCTCTTCAGACAAGGTGGCATTTTTCCCAATCTTCTGTTGTCTAGTTTTGGCAAACCTTTGTGAATTGTAGCCTCAGTTTGCTGTTTATTAGCTAAAAGGACTGACGCACAGTGTGGTCTTCTGCTGCTGTAGCCCATCTACTTCAAAATGTGATGTGTTGTATGTGTCTCAAAGATGCTCTTCAACAAACCTTGCTTGTAACAAGTGATTATTTGAGTTATTGTTGCCTTCCTATCAGCTCAACGCACCCTGGCCATTCTCCTTTGACCTCTGATATCAACAAGGCAATTTCACTCAGGGAATTGCTGCTCACTAGGTAATCTGTCAGACACCAAGGAGCATGAGGCAGTAAAAGGCACTTAAATCACATTTCTTCTCTATTCTGATGGTCAGTTTAAACTTCAGCAAGTAATCTTGACCTTGTCTATATGACTAAATGTGACAGGCTGGTTAGATACTTGCATTAATGTGCAGGTGAACAGGTGTACCTAACAAAGAGGCCAGTGAGTGTATTTTTGTCTTTATTCAAACATCTGCCACTAAACCGATACACCGTTTAATGCTTTTTAAATGTTTTTTGGTGTTTTTTTTGTGACAAACACATGTCAGAATGAGAACATCATATTTAATAACAGTGCCTTCATCTGATAATGCCATAAGGGCCTCTTAAGAATGTTCTTTATGTTTACGCTATTTAACAACTGGCCCTATTGAGCTTTTTTTTTTCATTGTGTTTGCACAGCAGTAATTAAACCAAAGACTGCCAGAATCCATATTACTTTCCACTTTTTAATTTGCCAGAGTGTCTATTGTGATCCTCATTATATTCACATAATAATTTAGAGGATGGCTTTATCCAGAGCTGCTTTGATTAAGGACACTAACGGCCCAAATGACTCTTAATGCACATTTAGGAAGAGGGAACCTGTGACCATATTGTTTAACCAGCAGGAAACTCAGTGGCATGATCATTCCCGTTACACTAAGATAAGTTAGTGTCACCTTTCCAGTGCTGCAGACTGTGAGACAGCCCTATAATGTTAGTTTGAACCACGGAGTCTTATAAATACTGCCTTCCTCACAGTTTAACCTTAACCTTTTGTGTTGTTATTTAGTATTGTTGTAGCATTTTCCATCCTTGTTGGATATTGCTGCCATTAATTTTCTTTCCCATGTAGCTTATCATTATTATTTTTATCATTAAGTGTTTAGTCCCGTGTGATTTTGTTTGTTTACCAAAAGTTTTATTTCTTTCCATTTCTTCTTTTTTTATACAATTATCCTGCTGGTTGCATATGGCTGTTGCAGTTTGGAATCCATTTGCACAAGTTTCTGCCTTACCGTCTTCACTGCAGCAATGACACACTCCCAAGCTACTTGTTTCTCTTTTTTTCTATCCACTATTTAGTCCACCCAATGATCGATGCCACCTGTCATCAGTCCATTCCTGTGATCTTGTCTTCTAAAGTTTTTTCATTGGCATTAAATAAGAAGAACTTGCAGAGTAGCTGCCGTCAACTACAAATGGAACTGAGGAATATTCAAAATGTTCTTACAGTTATACTTTTAAGTATACTTGTAATAATGTATTTATAAATATACTCCCCCTCAACCCTGCTTTAATCATACCTGAGTTTCAGATTCAGTGTGGCACCCCCTCAGTAGGTTTGCAAGTCCTTGTTATGTAATACCACAGATCTGTTGTATTTCTCCCAGTTCAAGATTTCTATTTCTGTCTGCATCCCATAATGTGCCGCTCTGTCTCCTTGACGACATGCCCAATAATAGCAGCAGGAGAGGTTGTCATGGATATGGTAACCGTAGTGATGCGCCTCATCTGTCCTT